AGCACTTTGTGGCAGCTGTGATTGTTTTAAAGGGTTTATAAATAAAGTGTTATTATTATTATTATTTATTTATTTCTTACAAACACAACAATGAAAACATATTAAGTAAAATATACCTGCAGGTCTCCAGGAGCATTTCTAACTTCTGTAGTTTGTCCATTTCAGCTGTCTTGATCTTGTGTGTGACAAGGACGTGTCTCAGTGGCTGTCCATTTCTGCAGACACTTTTGATCATGTCCAGAGTTGAATTCCATCTGGACGGAACATCTTGCATGAACGATTCTTCCTTTTTTCCATCTTCAGTTTGTTGGTGTTCTAATTCTGCAGCATTTGCTGGACTATGTTTAAAATGGCCCATGACGTTTCTGCATTTGACGAGGACATTGTCAAACACTCTGTCCTGCAGAGACACTGGGACAGAACGCTGGAGACAGTGCAGGGGACATGTTCAAAAGGCAGATGTGCCATCATGATTATCTGTGCTGGCTTTATGTGAAATGTTCCACATCTGAACAACATTAATAAAGTGTTCTGCGCAGGTTTCAGTAAAATATCTCTCCTGCTTTCATCACAGTCAGAGCATGTGAGTGCAGCTCCCACTGTGCATCAATATAATGTAATTCTGAGGTAGTTAGGAATATCCAGAGATGTCCAGTATCTCCAGTGAGAACAACCATTGGTGCACGTTGTAACATTTTGTAGCTCTTTTATTTTCATACAACTAGTTCTTGTGATGGTGTGCACTGAGAGAGACTCGAACTGTCATTTGTTGTGGTTAGGACGTCACACAGACCAGCATCTTCCTCAATGCTAACTGGCCTGCAACTTGTAGCAGTCCACTTCCAGAAATAGCATTTGTTAGCTTGTCTTGCTTTTGTCTATTTTTCTCCCACACTCTGTATCCAGCCTCGCCTGCACAGTTTGTTACGGTGGGTGATTGGCTGGCATCGATGGCGTGTTTTAAAGGCTCGAACTACTCCTGTGGTAAGACCATTCAGCGCTGCAGTGCCTGTAGATAACTTTACTTCTATCCAGCCTGCCGCCGGGAAAAGTTTTAAAGTAATAATGCCCATGTAAAAGTCTGGTACATTTCTTCATGTTTCTGGCCTGCTGGCTGCTGCTGCTCAGTTTGCTTCAGTTGGTTTGGCAGCAGCCCTACAAAACTAAGGCTGTGATTGGCTGAGACACACACTGATGCTCAAACATAGCCTATATGATCTACATCCTGCCTGCTGTGACTCTCTGTGTGTGTGTTCTTGTTTTCATGAAATATAAGGACATTTTTATGAAAACACACCTTCACTTCATTCAACCTTTATTTCTACAGGTAAATCCCATTGAGCCTCGAGGTCTCTTTTACAAAAGAGACCTGATTTAACAAAGAAAGATGAAACAATGGACAACAGCAACAACAATAAACAGTTATAAAAAGTCATACAGATTTTTACTTTTTTTACAAATAAGATGGCAAAAAAAGTAACAAAACAGCTGGATTATAAGGCAAATGTAGAAAACTAAAAACAGGAACATCTGCAGGAACTTACCAGATGTTTGAAGCCACTTAGAGAGGTCAAAGGTCGAGAGCTTCAGATCTTTTTACAAGATATTCCAGGAAACAGGAGCGGAGGAGGAGAAGGTCCTTTTGTCTAGTTCAGTCCTCACTGAGGGAACACTGCAGGTAATGATGTCCTGAGAGCGCACGCTGTAGCTGCACTCACACAGAGACATGTAGGAGGAGATGTATGAAGGCAGCAGACCAGGAAGTGATTTAAAGATGAAGATGTACCAGTGGGAGAGTCTGTGTGAAGTTAATGGTGACCAGTTAACCAGTGAATACTGGGTGCAGTGGTGGGTACGGTAGTTACAGCCAGTTATGAATCTTAGTGCACCATGATAGACAGCATCCAACATCTGCAGCATCCAACATCTGCAGCATCCAACATCTGCAGCATCCAATATCAGGACACTTGGAAAAATGAGGACATTTTTCGCGTCCTCATTTTTCCGAGCATACTAGAGTGTTCTAGAAGTTCCAAATGTGTCCCTGAACCAAAAATCTCCAATGTCCTAAAATATCACAAGTTTTAGAAATTTTGTGTGTGAGTGTGTTTATCTTTTGGCTCATTTTTCGATTTGGCCAACTAGTGGCCAGTTTTGGAACTTAACACACTTTTCACACACTTGTACCCATATGTTACATTGTTCAGAAACACTTACACTGTTCAACATTGGTAGCAAGTTTAAGTATTACACTAATGCATATTACAATATCCATCCATCCATCCATCCATCCATTTTCTTTACCCGTTTATTCCATTTTGGGTCACGGGGGTCGCCGGTGTCCATGTCCAGCAATCACTGTGCCAGGGGCGGGGGACACCCTGGACAGGTCTCCAGTCCATCACAGGGACACATAGAGACAAACGAGACAAATGACCATTCACTCTCTCACTCTCACCTAGGGACAATTTAGAGTTACCAATCAGCCTAACATGCATGTTTTTGGTCTGTGGGAGGAAACTGGAGTACCTGGAGAAAACCCACGCATGCACGGAGAGAACATGCAAACTCCACCCAGAAGGCCCCTGGACCGGGGTTTGAACCAGGGACCTGCTCGCTGAGAGGCAGCAGCTCTACCAGTTGCACCACCGTGCTGCATATTACAATATATATTCTTAAATTCAGTCAAATAAGATATTCACAATTGATACTCCTGGTATAAACCTTGGGGGCAGCACGGTGGTGCAACTGGTAGAGCTGCTGCCTCTCAGCGAG